TTAAGAGGGAAGATACTTATGAAGATAGCTTTGTATGACATGCTTGCCTATGTTTAAGGGAAGCATAATATACGGAATTAACCTAATCATCTTGGTTTACAAAATAGAACCAAAATGTAACCATGTAAACTAGACTTGCTCAAGATGCTGGGCCAAAACAAAGTCAGCTACTTTGTGGTTCAGAGCATTGCATGAAGCCAGCCTCTGTGGCATGGCATGCCAATAGGAAGCTGAACAAACTGCATCTCAAAAGGAATGATCTTCTAGAATTACGAGAAACCTAATTCTCTTCCCTTCAGTGTCTAATGACAATAGAAACTAGATGGATCCGGTAGGGAGATTATAGTTTTCAGGAGTTAAGTAAGCAAAGCAGTGCTCCCTTCCATAGGCATTCATAGTAAAAGTGAGAGGAAACTAATGTCATGATATTATTAGGATTCAGAGATATTTCCTTACCTAAACAGAGAATGGCCACTGGTGGGCAAAAAAATAGTGGGAGTAGGAACAACTTCCCCATTGAGTTTGATCAATGTCCCCATTGGGAGCATCATAAATCCTGCCTGCCTTCCTGCCTTCCTTCCTTCCTTTCTTCCTTCCAATATGGACTTGCAGATAGTGCATGGATGGTGGAAGCTTACACTCTCACGAGATTCTCCATTGACTTCCAGTTTTTGGTAAAACCAGCTCATAGTAAGCAACTGATTTGCTTAAGGGAACATGTTGCTTGCTTAATGACCAAAGCAGCTGCTTTACTACCATGAAATTTGCTTAAAATTTATAACATGGTGGTAAAATTTTACACTAAAATGGTAAAATTTGGTCAGGCATGAGGGTGACCTTCACCACTTATAACTGTAATGAGCAGGCTCCGTTGTGGCCGTAAGTTAAGTACTAGTCTTACTGCTTAATTACCATCAGACTTTGATAATGTGGCGAAGGCTGGTATCTATTTCTACTCAGAAGTAGTGAATTCAGTAGAGACTATCCCAAATGTGTGGTAGTCTCTATTGGTGTTTCTCAACTTAGCAAGTTTAAGAATTCTAAGAATTGAAGTGCACACATCTTAAAGTTGCCCAGGTTGAGAAATGCAGATCTATATCATTAGCAAGATTTTTTTTTAACCTTCTCCACCTCTTTGGGTCTGCTTGCAATTTAAACAGAAGATTAAACCCTAAAATTAGTTTCTGCTGGAATTCTAACTCAGAAAATGTGTGTGTAAGAGAAGGGGGGGGGGAATGAGAATTGATATTTTGATCTGAGAAGTGGGGTTTTTTAACTCTCAAATAATCGTTTGCATGCAGAAATCTCTCTGCCTTACTCCTGGGTTAAGTTTTGCGTTGAGATTCGTACCAAACTGTTACACACCCCTCTGGTTTCATTGCTTGGCTTTGCATGGGGATTCTGCCATTCATTTCTTTCCAGGCTCATTTTGAGAGAAAACAAATGATAACCTTGACGTCTTTGTTTAACAATTGGTTTGGGGAGCATTGAAAAAAGCGATTTACCACTGGTCCTCACATTTACAACCTGCATGGCATCCCTGCAGTCACATGATCAAAATTGGGAGGGGGAAGATGCTTGGCAATTTGCATATGTTTGCCACAGTTGCAGTATTCCTGTGGTGGAATGTAGTTGTGGGAGCAAGGGGCTCTTTTCCAGAAGGCAAAGCAAAAACATAGCCTGCAATGCCTGGTATGCAGGAAAAAGGTAAAGAAGGACCTCTTCCCCAACAGTTCACAGAGTATATTTACTGTATAGTTATACAGATAACTAAAGCGGGGTGGCTCAGTGGCTAAGACGATGAGCTTGTCGATCAGAAAGTTCGGCAATTCGAATCCCTAGCACCACATATCGGAGTGAGCTCCTGTTACTTGTCCCAGCTTCTTCCAATCTAGCAGTTTGAAAGCAAGTAAAAAATGCAAGTAGAAAAATAGGAACCACCTTTGATGGGAAGGTAACCGTGTTCCATGTGCCTTCGGCGTTTAGTCATGCCGGCCACATGACCACGGAGACGTCTTCGGACAGTGCTGGCTCTTCAGCTTGGAAATGGAAATGAGCACTGCCCCCTAGAGTTGGGAACGACTAGTGCATATGTGCGAGGTGAACCTTTACCTGTGCAGATAACTGCTTTTTAGTCTTATGAGATTTCTATTCATTAGCAAGCAACAATAAAGAAATTGTTCGGAAGAGCACCACTTGTCTTTCCTGGTTCTTGAGACTTGACAGTAGCAGGGTGACCTTCTCAGGGAGCTTCTGACATGTAAAATCAACACAAGAGGCTGGATACACTTAATTATTTGCTTTAATAATTGCCGCAAAAAAAGGTCATAAAATTGGGTGCAATACACTTAATGACTGCATCGCTTGGCAATGGAAATTGTGATCCCAAATTTGATTGTAAATCAAAGATTATCTGAGTAGGAATGAAAAATCTTACTGGAGTTTTGATCCTGGCTGGTTCAGCCTGAAGGCACCAAATTACCTTAGATAAACACTTTGCCTTCTTCTGCCTCTCTGTTACAATCCTGTCATTTGACTGTAAATACAGTGATATGCATCTGATAATACATAAGTTTACAACTCGTGTTGTCTGCTGAAGGAAAAAAGCCATATTGTAATTATGCCTTTGTTTGGACTTGTTTTCCACTCTTACATGCTTCCCATGAAATGAGGCTAACAAACTGTGTTCGTATTATTGATACTAAAACCATGTATATTCTACTCAAAAATAAAAATAAAAGTGACAGAACCAAGGAAGCTCCATGAAACTTGTTTAGTAGAGAAGATATTCTGGACTTGGGTTTAAGTCTCTGCTGACTGCAAAGCTTTGCCTTGAATTGATTCTTTTTTCTTATTTCATCCAGGATGTGGTGACCCTAAAAACACACAACCAACTCTTAAAATTCAGCCAGTTAGGCTCGTAAGCCAGATTTTGTGGTATTGCCTAGTGCACACTGTGCATACTGTGGTTCAATAAACTACAGTAAAACAATCTATAACTTAACATAATTTTAAAACCCAGACCCAGTCTCTCGCTCTCCCTCCCTCCCAAAAACCCCACAAGGGCTTGTATAGACGCTACTCGGTGTTTTTCTTTTTATCATTTGTCATACTGTCATTTGGATACTCTTCAAAAGCCTTTAAAATATCTGGGAAATTCTCATTCTGTGAAAGCTCCCAGGATTTCTTTTTCAGTGAATGGTGATGGTTTGAAGCGTGATAATGTCGTGACTGTTACAACCTGGGAAGCCAGGCTTGTTGGAGCTTTAGTGGTGTCTAGTGGCCGATGTTTGCCTGCCTCTGTTTCAGATTGTATAGCATGACTTTGGATTTTATAACAAGGAGAGCAAAGCTGTTTTTCAATAGAGTTTCTAGATAACCAAATTAAGCTCATCTTATAATAAGAAATTACTCTCTCAAAAAAGTGGTCAAACATTCCAGTGATCATTGCAATACATCTTTGTGTTTTATCCTATTATGTGCATCTTAGTCATGTATATTTGCAAGGCAAGGGTTTGTAGGATTGTGCTTTTCTTGTGGCAGAATACATCCATCCATCCACCCAGACTAATTTGACTGGTACCTGAATGGCATCTTTTTCTAATGCAATATACTGTATAGTACAGTACTGTACAGTACAGTAGTAAAATTACAGTATTGAAAATGTTTGGCAGAGTAAAATTCTTAGGGAGGAATATCAGTTTTTTTATTACTATTATTATTTTGTCCAGAGCAATATTGAGCTTGGTTTATATTGTTTTTGTGTTTTTATTTGTGAACTGCCCAAAATTAATTGGAGTTGGGCATTATCTAAATTGAATCCAAAAAATTAATTGGAGAGTATGCTTTTTTTTAAAAACTGAATCTTTAGATGATATGGAAGGAATAGCACCCTAGAAAGTGGCTGTGACTAATACAAAAACTAAACTAAAGTTTACCTCAGGTGTTTCTAATAATTCTCCCCTTTTATCATATTAAAAATTACAACTTTTAGGGGCTCTGGGATCACACCTAAAGTTTTGAGAACCTTAAGTTGTGAACCTGTGTTAGGTTATATCGATTAAACCAAAAGCTTGCAAAAAAAACTAAATCCCTCAGCCAATTGAAAGAGTGGGTTATTTTAAAAGTTACCTGATTAAATGGCAATACTTTTCTTTAAAAAAGTGAAACATTTTAATTGCTCCAATTGGTTTACTGATGATTGGTATAAATTATTCATGTTAACTCGAAAATAAATCCCATTAATTTGAATGGAAGTTTCTTCTAGCCAATTCAACATATTCTTCAGTTTGAAGATGATAGGAAAAGGGCATTTACAAAAAGTAATACTTTTGGTTAGAAATTGAAATTGATTAGCATACTTTATGCATGGAGAATTTACTTTTTATAGACTTTTCCATTGTTTTTTGCACATGCAAAGTAATATCTCAGTTGTGGAAGATCACAGGATAACCTTACAATATTAACAGAAATTGCAAAATTCATAAACAGTGTTGTAAAGGCAGATTCTTTTTGTTTCAATTATAACCACAGACATAAGCAAGTCAATCTTCCTAACCTCTTTATAGATATTACATTGCTCACCCAAGGAAATCTTTTAATGTTTAACAGATGCTTCTCAATTAAATTGGTATCAAAATGCCGAGTTTTGCTTTTAATTTCTGATGGTACTGTCTGATATTGACCTCATTAGAGAGAAGACTAAGATGATATCAGAATACATATTCTCCAAAGTTAAGATATAGTATTGTTCAAACCCTTTCAATACTGCCATGCAGATACGGCATTAAAAATAATAATATATTTTTTGGTCAGGGTGAAATAGTCATCCTTCCCTACTTATACAAAATATAATGCCTACTTGATTTAGTCATAAGTATCACCTTCAATATTCCTTTTCTTATACAGAACAGAACAGCCCTATCAATACTTAAAACCTATTGAGAACAAAAATTGTTCATGTACTCTCGGTTTCATTCTGTTCTGTCCCTTGTTCGCAGGTACCAGTATTATCTTCAAGTAAAAAAAGATGTTATTGATGGACGATTGCGATCTTCCTTTGAACAAGGGATAAGGTTGGCTGCACTGGCCGTTCAAGCTACATTGGCAGCTCAAGGTACAGTGAGTACATCTGCCCATTCTTTCCCCTCTTATCTATTTATTTAAGTATAACAATACATTCCTGTTAAACTGGAGATGGCAACCCCCTACGGGGGAATATTGACACTGAACTGCATTCTTAAAAGCTTAATACTGTGTATTTTGGAAACATTAGTGGCATTAAGTGGCAATAATTCCTGAAATGAATGAGTCATTCATTTGAATCATCCATTTTCTCTTTTTACTGAAGTGGAAATTCTTAGCCTTCTTGCAAGATACTGAGAATGAAGATCATTAAGATGCATTTTAGTTTGAGAACTTGTAATATCGTAACATAGCATGCAAATAATTATTTTTGTACTAATGCCATAAGCCAGATACTCATCCAAATTTATTAGTGAACTGCATTAGAAAAAGAATAGTGGTCAGGGTTAGAAATAAATAGGATGGGGCTTAAATTCATGGTTCAGGTCTTTTTTCTCCAGCACTACAGCATTAGAAGGTGAGTTAAAAAGAAGTCTAGTCAGGTATCACTTTAGCTATGCTATCTTCCGCTTCTATCATTTCTCATATATTTTGCATGTTCTGCTTCCACCATTTCTCATATATTTTGCATGTATTCAATGGATTTCTGCAAATATAATGTGTTTAAGCAATGGATTTTATAAACGTAATATACTGTATTTTTTGGAGTATAAGATGCACCTTAGTTTTTTGGGGAGGAAAATTGGGGGGGGGGGATTCTGCCTACCAGGTATTCATCTGGCTAGTCCTTAGCCTGGTCAGCTTTAGCACATTAGTTCGTTTGGTGGTTTTGAGGTTGGGGATGATTTGGGCTGTGCTTCTAAAGCAGAGCTGATTGTCGGAGGGAGCAGCAATTAGAAAAGCTGGCAAAGCATGGAAGATCGCTTAGCTTGTGTTTGGGCTGAAAACAGATTCAAAAGCACAGCTGATCCTCGGAGGGAGCTCCAGTGACGAAAGCAAGGAAAGCGGGGAAGGCGTAAGAGAAGGCAGCAGCTGTTCTGGGTAGCCCTTTTGGGCACCACGTGTTGAGCATTTGGAAGCTGAAAACACATCGTACGGAGCCAAAAACACAAGCCATTGTCGATGGCAATCTCTGCAGCCAGGAAGAGGACGTGCGACGGCTGAAAAGTAGGGGCTGGCGGGTGGGCGGAGCTACATTTGGAGTATAAGACACCCAAATTTTCAGCCTCTTTTAGGAGAGAAAAAAAGTGTGTCATACTCTGAGAAATATAGTAACAAATTTCCTACCACATTTATAAAGCTCAGGCTTGCAAACTTCCCTTCACACTTTTGGCACACTAGAGGAAGACTAATTAAAATTACCCAGAAATCTAACTTGGAAAGCTATAGATTGCTTAAACTATGGTTAAGGGAATACATTAGCGAAAAGGTGGCTTCTGGTTTGTTCTCACTAACCAGAATTTAAACTAATTCATTGCTTTTAAACATGGTGGGTTATTTTCTCAAAGTCACAAATGAATGTTTAGTATAAAATAGGAAAGGATGTTTGCATCTCTAAAATTAGATACAGCTTTATCATAGATGAAATCATTGTTCCAAGTATCAATTAAATGAAGTATGTTTTCTCAAATAGTATTTGCAAAACCTTGATTATGGAGTGAAATGAAATATGTCTTTATTATCAGAATGATGTGAACTTATAAATCCATATGCTCACATTTTTATTTTAAGCTGTTGTTCTTAAATACACACAGAGAATTCCTAAAAGTTTTTCTTTAGTACTCTATCATTTGTATTGTTTGTATACATACCACCTTAGTGTTTTCAATAAGTTTGTTTTTATCGGTTATTTTAAAAAATGTATATTTATGATGATAAACTTACATAAAGCAAAGGAAATACTTTATAGGAATGTCATTCTAAGTTGAATGCAAGTGAAATATAGAGTGAAATTGGTTGATCAATGGGAAGACTTCCACTAACATAGTGAAACCTTTACTTTTGTACATTTTTCATCAAAAACTTCTTTGGAATCATTGGAAACGTTCAAGCATGTATCCTTCCTCAAGTATAAAGTGAAAATTATTTCTGTCATCACAGAATTACAACTGAATTTCAACAGGTCTCTACTGCTTCTGAAGAATAATCCAGCACTGTTAATGTATAAATTAGGAAAAGGAAGGAATTCAAGTATGATTTTTTGTCGTCGTTTCCCCCCCCGTCCGCCAATCTATTTGAAAGATCTAAATCCCCTTCAAGAAAACAATGAATACTAGCCCCATGATCTCATGGCTGTACTTTTTAGATGAGACGAACGGTTTTGTGTCTTCATAGTCAGGGATTTCAACCTAAATATTGAATATCCCTCCTTCCTCTAGGTTAAGCCATTGAAGAATCTTTTAGGAAAAAGTTTCATATGCAGTAAAAGCTGAAGCAATTTATTTCTCAATTCTCTTTCTTTTTCCCCATCCAGTTGGCTTTGGAGATTACCCTCATTTTGATTCTCGGGATCTCCGGCGGTATGTTTTGTTTCCTGTGGTGAGTTAGCATCTTCCTACCATCCCTCTTCATGTATTTATTTATTGAATTTGTATTCCACTGCAGTTAAAAGAGACGATGCTTTACTGGTAAATTGGCAATGTATGGATTAAAAATACAATAAAGTATCCACAAGATATGTATGTATGTATGTATGTATGTATGTATGTATATGTGTGTATATATATGTGTGTATATATGTGTGTGTGTGTGTGTGTGTGTGTGTGTGTGTGTGTGTGTGTAGATAT